CAATTGGTAAAATTTTCAATATTCCTTATCAAGGAGTTTCTCTTAGGTCTGTTAGGATGAATGATTCAGATCTGCTATCTAATCATATATTTCTTCCTGGATATGGCAAACCTTTAAATAACTCAAACAAACTTCGTCCAATTCCTAGGTTCATTGCACGAATCCTAGCTTATAACTTGTTTCCAAAAACTGGGAGTTTTTATTTCATTTCTCTAGATTTAGCAAAAGCTCTATATGTTATAATGGGAAATATTCAAGTTAATTGGACTGAAGTTTACTTTGACAATCTTCTGACTATTCAAAGAGGATTTCTTCCTTATGGTGCATTCCTAACAAAAATCTTTGACAAATTCCATGTCGATCTCCAATCTGAAAATTCTGTTGTCCGTTCTATTGAATTTTTTGATTCCAATGCCCTAACTAGGATGAAATTGACTAACTTTGAAATTCAAGAACATAATCCTCAAAATGAACCTGAACCTCATCAAGAAGAAATTCCACAATCTTCAACTCAAGCAGGAGATTCTTCAAGTCAACCACCACCATTTCCTACAGAACCATCTTGCTTTTCAGACGTGCAATACAACACTTTGAGTGCACGTATCCTTGAACTTGAAACTGGTCAAAGAGCTCTATATTCCCAGAACTCATATATTATTAGCAATCAAGAAGAGCTAATCAAGAAGTTTGAAGACTTGGACACAAAGCTTAATGCATATTTTCAAGGACAGCAACCTCCTCCAGCACCTTAAGATGTTTTTATGTTAAGTTTCAAAACAATTATGTTATTCGGAACTTTTGGTCTTTATGGTAAGTCTTTGCCTACCTATTTGGATGGGTGAAGTTATGGACTATGTTCATAACCTGGATGATTTGTTTGAAGTTTTAGCTCATGTTGAAGAAATAATGTCATGTTTAGCATAGATGTTTTTCCTCTTTTTGTTGATAACAAAGGGGGAGAAATGGTTGGTTATGTATTGTTATATATGACTCACATTTGCATATATGCAGGGGGAGTAAGTATGGTTATTTCATTATATTTTAATCTGATTATAAAATATATACTTAGGCATAAATTATTTGTTATCATCAAAAAGGGGGAGAATGTTGAATATCATATCTCCATGATAGTATTTTGATGATAACAATTTATACAGTGTGTGCACTAACTTTTATATGCAAATTTCAATATCAGAATATGAACAAGTGCAAGATGTTTTCAAGGCATTATGAAGTGAAGAAGATGAAGAACATATGAGATAATGTATTTTATATTTTCTTTACTTAGAATTATTGTACAAGCCTTGATCACACACACGAACACACATAATATTAGAGCACACTAACACAGGCTTAGTGTGTTGGTTAACTATAGAAATCCCCTATGTTAACCATTAGAATTATAGTTAAAACTTAAGTATAAAAATATTTTATTTCATAATTTTTACTCTTAGTAGTCGACTAATTAGAATAGTAGTCGACTACTTGTGTATAAGTCTTAAATACATGTTTCTGTCAATTTACAGTATAGTCGACTACAATGGATTATAGTCGACTACTCAAGTGTTTGACAGAAACATAAGTTTCTGTTGTTTTACAGTGTAGTCGACTAATCAACATTATAGTCGACTACTGAACGTAAATTTTATTTTATCAGTTTCTGTCAAAATACAGTGTAGTCGACTAATAAGCTTTGTAGTCGACTACTGAGAATTTTTCTGAATACACAGAGTCTGTTTGAACTCAGTGTAGTTGACTAATGAAAATTGTAGTCGACTACAGATACAGTTTTTTCAGATTTCAAAGTTTGAATTTATGATTGTTTATAGCCGTTTTTAAACGTTTTTAAAGTTCAAAAATTTGTCTTTTCAAGGGCTATAAATAGGTTATTTGTTTAGAAAAATTGCAGACATATACATACCCATAAGCTTTGATCTTTGTGCAATTTTTCAAGTGAAAAATATTCAGATTTTGAGAAAAAGAGAAGTTTCTGAAATTACCTCTGAACATTATTCAAAAACCTATTGTTTAGGCAATTTACAGAGATTAAAAGAATCCTAAGTCATTGCTGCACTTCACTACACATTCAAGGCTTATAGGATCAATTGTGTTCTTGCTTCAAAAAGGATTCCTCTCCGGTTTGAGAGGGTTGATCTCTTGGTTTAGAGATTGGTGTTCATATTGGCAAGGTGTTTGTCAATTGGTATTGCAATTTGTAGGGACTTGCAAATTGGTCAGGTTTGAGTTTGATTTTGTAAGTTTATTCAAAATCATAGTGAAAACTCTCAAGCGGGATTTGTTTGGGGACTGGATGTATACCGGATTGGTGGAACCAGTATAAATCTTTGTGTTTGTGATTGTGAATTTCTGAGATTGCCATTTTTCTTTGCAATTTATAATATACTTTGCATAAATTTTAAAAGAACCCTATTCCCCCCCCCCCCCCTCTAGTGTTCAAGTGTATCTATTTCAGATCCTACACAAGTAAATTAATTATTCATTGACTTCTTTAAGTTGGCAAGTTGAATGAATTTTATGGGTATATTTACTGTAAACCCTCACGAGACTACAACTCATACTCTAAAGTAATCTAGGGTTTAAAGGATTGTCGTATGTTCTAAATACAAGCAAAAGTTAGTTAGGAATTTTCTTTCTTTTTTTCTGGAGGACTAGCAAAAGTTTAAGTGTGGGTTGATCATCATATTTTATTATATTTTTATACCCTTATTATTTATCTTATTTAAATATATATTGTATGGAGTGTTCCCTGTTACTTACAAATATGTTATCTCGAGAACGGACCTAGTCGAGCCGGCGTCACTCCCCGAAGATGACTCAAAAGGCGGACTCATTCGGGCGAAAGATTGCTGCTCAGCAACAAGCCGACACTCCCCCCGAAGGCGACTTAGAACATTACTTCCCAGCATTATTTTGTCATTTGTGGTCATCATTACGACTCCACGTCACTCGCAGACAAGCCTCAACGGCTACTGACCTTAACGGCTGCTGATTCCCTATGCCACAGAAGTGACTCCACATCACCCGCTGACAAGTCTCAATGGCTGCTGATTCCCTATATCGTTGAAGTGACCCGCCATCACTCATTAATCGACACGAATAGGGCAGAGGATGACTCAGCCTCTAGCTCACCTCTCGCCGTCATCATGAGCCACCTCCTCACTAAATACCTGTTCTGCCCTTAGCATCCTCTATAAATACAGACGCTATTCATACTAAGAGGAGGTTCGGTCTCTCCATCACTACCTAAAAAAAATTTCTAGTTACATATTAGAAGAAGATACTATTCCTCTATTACCGGACCAAGTACACCAGCTGACTTAATCGTTGGAGGTACCATCAGGAAACAGGCCCCGTACTCCCACGATTCTTGTGCGTGCAGGTGATCCGCCCACCCCGAGCTCTGAGAACCAGACATAAAGTCGAAGAAGGAAAGCGGCCCTCCATCCATCTCAACGATCCAATAACTCTGCAATCCTCACCGACTGTTTGTTCACGAGCATCAACATATATATCAGTAATAACATATTTTATCTTCATTTGTAGGCTAATGAAGAATTAATAAGAGCTAAAAAAGAACTCAAATTTTTTTATTTTTTAACCTTTTATTGAAGTACAGGATCAAGGCAAGCAACCTATAGAAGCCGAATAAAAAAGGATCAAATATGAAAAAAAAATCAAATTAAATTAATATTCAAAATGACAATCCGCAAAGAAACATCAATATCTTCCAATACGGAAGGCTGAATCTAACATATAATATATAAAAATTACCTATCTTGATGAGACAAAGCCATCTAGAATGTCAGAATATCAATAGCAATATCGATATGAGTATTGATACATGTATCTATACATATATCGATAGGGGTATCGATACCTGCACCGGTACCCGTATCGATACTACTGATACCCGTATTGATACTATCGATACCAAATATGCAGTTATGAATCAAAAGTTAAAATTATGTAACGTAGGGATTAAGTTTAATCTAAGGGCTAATATTGATTGTAATATTTTATAAATAGGGGTAGAGAGTAGGGGTTTGAGAGTGAAAATTTTTGTAAAACTCTATTTGGAGAAGCATCAGATGACCAAACCGACTGCCTGGACTCAGCCAATGTTACTCAAATGCCCTTCTAGATCCAGTATAAATAGGCATGTTGTATAATGCATAAAGGTACACAAAATTCCGCACACTTAGTTAAATTATGTTTTTTCTCTCATTGAGATCACAACTAACTTGATCGTTGGGGGAACCATCGGAGAACGCAACTCCGATCCTCTAGCATGTTGCTTGTGTCCATGACACTTTTTCATTCAGAAAATAGCCATTAAAGGTCATTAAGGTACCCTAAAATCCTTAGAATCAACCCCAAATCCTACTACTTAACTTCTGACTTCAACAGTACGTTTCCACCACCATTTTCTATTTTTCTATTTTTAATGTAGAGAGGCGTTTCACGCTCCTGATAGTAGTTTTTTTTTTTCTATTTTCACCATTCTTAATACATCAAAACAAAATATAATTTTTTCTTAATAACCAGTCGGTGTGTGACCAAGAGTCCAAGAGGATGTCACAATGTGCGAGAATTACTTAATATTGCTAAACGACCCTGATTCATTCCGGGGAGAAAGAAGAAAATGAAGAAAAGGTGAATAAACTCAAATACTTGGATCGGATTCAAGATCCAAGTGGGCAAGCCCAAACTAACCTGACCCATTAACCACGTGTCTTCACAAGAATTATTCCTCCTCATCCACTCATCCACCCATGGGCATGCCAGTAATTTCCTTCTCAGTTTTAAGCTACCCCAAAATTCAAACCACACGTAACGCGCAAGGGCATTGTACCGTGAATAACGCAATAAAGGAGGCCATCTAGTTACTCCCCCTAGAAACGGATCCAAGTTTCCCAATCTCATCCAAGAATCTCGACCGTCCATCTCACAGACAATATCCAGCCCTCCATCTCTCCTCCTCCTCCTATAAACGGACATTCGTGGGCTCTCTCCTCACATCACCAAGATTTCCCCAATTTCTCGAACTCTCTGACAAAAGCCCGAGATTTGGCGGAAATTTATCGGGGTTTTCTTTGAGAATTAAACGCCAAATAACAATTCGTTCCTAATTCTAATAATTCCCCAGCGACAAAAACTCTCACCCGCACCTAATCGATCTTGAATCCTAGGGTTAGGGTTAGGGTTTCTGTAACGGCTCAATCCCTAGATCTAGAAGAATGAACGATTCTAATCCGATGATGGGTCAAAGCTTCGGGCTCTGGCCACAGGGCCCGCCGCCGCGGCAATCGGGCGCGCGATCCGATGATCTTTAGGCTCGCCGGCCGATGTTCCGCCGATCCCCGGGCCAACCCCGGCCGCGTCACTGAAGGTCAAAAAGGCCGCGACAAGCGCAAGAAGGCGGCGGCAGCAGCCTCGGCGCCGCCGCCGCCGGAGACGGCACCGGATACAAGCCGCGACGCTCAACGAGGCTCCAGTACCAAAACGACAGAAAGCGAAAAGAATTCTACCCTAACAAGAAAAGTTTTCGAGGATCGCCCCCTACGCGCGAGAAACACGACGTCGTTCATCCATCCGGCGAAGAAGTCCGGCGGCATTCGCTCCGCTCGTCTCGCCGTGCCCTGTGACTCCGGCGGATCCTCCCGACCCCGAAGTTCTCGCCGTCGCGGGACGGCCTCGTCGACATGGCGAAGGAGAGTGGGGCGTCGACGGCTACGGAATCGATGAAGGGCCTCATCCGCCTCCGGTCCGCCACCGGAGCGGCGGCCCGGCGAGGACTCGGACGAAGACTCGACGGATCGGATCGAGAGCGATGTGGAGGAGCACCTGGAGGTCGAGAGGAGGCTCGACCACGATCTGAGCCGGTTCGAGATGGTTTACCCTAGTTTCGGGGAGGATCAGGGGGCGGCCGCGGCCTATCTCCTTGAGAATCGGGTCGACGACCAGGACACCCACATTGCCCAGCTGGAGGAGGAGAATTTGACGTTGAAGGAGAGGCTTTTCTTGGTGGAGAGGGAGGTGGGGGATTTGAGGAGGAGGCTGCAGATTCTCGAGGCCGGGTTTAGGGGTAGAGGTGGAGGTGGGGTTAGTAACAACAACGATGATGAAAATAACCCTAATGTCGATGATAACGAGGGGAGTTACAGCGGTAATCATAACAACAACAACAACAACAACAATGTGAATTTGAATCTGAGTTTGAATTTGAACGAGGAGGGGGATGTTTGCTCTGAGAACGGAGATGAGAGCAACGAGGCGCGGACTCCGATGAGGGAGGAGCGAGGAATTTAGAGGGCTTTGATCGTTTTGATTCTGTCGTGTACATAAAACCGGACCTCTCGTGTAGAATTCTGTTTTGGTGCTAAATTTGGTCTCTTTTATTGCTCTTCTTTGATTCTTGGCAAAGCTCGGTTGTCATCTGATTAATTAATAAGCGTTTGGAATTATTCGTATGTTCGTTGTTTTCGTTTTAATAATTGATGATGATAATATGAGTTTTCTCGTTACTGTCAGCATTAATTGTGCTTGATATTTGTTGTAATTATTCCATATGGTCTTACATTGACTGGTTACGGGTACCAGCGAAATGTATCGTGCGCTTTTCTGCCTAAAATTCTAGTTCTACGCATAGTTTCCTCAAAATAGTTAATAATAAGGATTTTGTATTTTTAGTGAAGAGATTTTAGCAATTAATATTAAATAGAAATGAAATGTGTCGTAAAATGAAGAAAGGTACTCATAAACCTCCAAACTTCAGTTCAGAGGGAAGCATATATATGCTGCTGTCCGCGGACACGGAGAACCCTCCGCTTTGACCTAATCTCATCTTTTTACCAATAAATAAGGTCTCTATTGTTTGAGAAGAAAATCGATCATAAGAAGGTAGAACACTGCTTCAGAGGTGACGCTACTCCTTGTGTGGTTTAAAATTTGACTGTAGCGTGTGTGGCTGTAAAGGAACTACAATGGGTGATATTTATCTGTCTCTGTTCCTTCTTTCTTTCCCGCTACTACTCAAAAAAGGAAGGTTAGTCATAATTATTTGGTTCAACTACCTTCTATCATTATTTGATTCCTACTTTTACTCTTAGGGGCCGTTCGGTTCATGGGAATGACATTGGGTTTTGGGCAGAAAATCTGCCAAAACTGACACTTTGGCAGGCTTTCTGCCCAAAACCCAATGCCCTTCCCATGAACCAAACGGCCCCTTAATTGGAGGGACTAATTTAAAATAATTTAAGATTTGGGAAACATAATAGCAATTTCAATGATTCGAGGGACTACTTTCAAAATAACTTGAGGTTTGAGGAGCCTAATAGCAATTTCCATGATTTAAGGGACTGATATCGAGAACCCCCTAATTTTATATTTGATGATTATAATAATAGATGTACTATTTTTATTTATTGAACATTAATTTTATGGTTAATGATTCTAATGATTTTTGTACTACAGATTATGAACGTGTAATGTGTAAATATGCGTCTATGAGGGACTAAAGTGTATACTATTCTTTGGGCGCGTGTGTATATATATATCCTCTTGGACTCGTCTGCAACATCCTCTTGGACTGAGAATGTCCCTCCAGTCGTTTATGAGAAATGGCCAGTGAGTGGTCGAGTGCCTTAAGTAGGGTCGACCGACACCGCCTTTCACGTCGACTCAGGAGTGTCGGCCTGTTCGACTAGTTGGAATGTCGTCTCGTCTCAGCTAATAATCGTCTCTCGAGTCAATATAAAGATGTTGACTCGTATGGGAGGTTAGGATCTTTTGTGCCGGCCAATATTGCCTTTGGTGTCGACACCAGAGAGTCGGCTTGATGAGTCGGTTGGGCCGAAGCCTCTGTGATTGTGCCTTGCGTTTATCCCTGATAAGGTACCTAATTAGCCATGATGATCGAGTTGCACTGGAGGATTCGATCATATGTTGTGCATTGGACTTACATTGATAAAGAGCCAAGGACTTGTAATCCGACTGAGGAGTCATTGTGCCTTGGATTAACCCTGAAGAGGTACCAAGGGCTTAAAATTTAATTGAGGAGTCGAATGCCTAAAACTCTTGAGAGTTTACTAGGGCTTTTCTTCCCCTAAGGCCGAGAGAAAACTGTGGGAGTACGTCAAATGGTTGAGTTTGTTTTGTTAGGACCCTTATTGTATCATTTTGTAAATATCCATATCTTGGGTGAGTGAACACCATAACAGTTGGCCCTTTCACTTAGAGTCGGCTTTCAGTCGACTTCAAGAGAAATAAGATATGCTCTAATCAATACATGCATGCTGAGGATGAGAAACTGATAAATCTATGTCTTAGAAACGTGGCTTGTCATTATTGGCCATCATTGTTAGCTCTGCTGTACATGGTTGACGTCATTAAAGATTTTAACCTTCATTTTGGAAGACGAAGTGTCATGGATAGAAAGGAAGATCTTCCACTTTTCGAGCATTGGGACGTGGGGGCATTTGTAAAACCCCAAAACTTTATAATAAAATTGTGTGAATAAATAGTAATAAATCTTCCTTTTGTGAAAAATAACTATATATATATATATATATATACGGTCGCGGTCGACCGCGTCGGTCGACCGCACAGCGGTCAGAGAAGTTTTCAGGTTTGGGTTTTTACGGGTTTTTGTTTAGGCCTTTTGGGTTTCGGGTCGGGTTGGGGAATTGGTACATATACTATTCCAACCCAGGAGAGCACTTCTTCATCTCAGACCTAAAACCCTAGCCCCCATCTCTCTTCTCTCAAAACCCTAACTGGATCTGGCGTTTTGAGGAGTTCGGAGGAGTTTCAGGGGATTTTCGCAGATTTGATCGAAGGAGGATCATCTCCAGGGCAGTTGTCAGCATCTAAGGCGAGTATCATCTCGCCCAAATCCCTCACCCCTGTTTTCTATGGTTTTCTCTTGGATTTTTATGAGTTTTGATGAGCCAAAATGGTATTTTTGTATAAAAAAATGAATTCTCTATAATATGGTTAACAAAAATCAGCGATTTTAGTTTTCAAAAGTTCACCAATGTTCTGTTAATGAAGATCTAGATCTGAAATTTGCCTAAATAAGAGTTAAATCATTTTTATAGTTATTAAAACGTTTTTGGTTTGTTTCTCATGGATTTAGAATATTGAAAATTTAGATTTCAAGCTTGGGATTTAGTGTTTATCTTCAGTATGATTTTTGAATCATTAAAACTCATGTAATCTTAAAATATCAAGTTTTATTTCAGGTTTAGCAGCTGACAGAAAACCCAGATTGGGTTTATGTCCTCTTGGCGGTCGACTGGTGCGGTCGACCGCTGGGCTCGTTTTAGGGCTGCGGTCGACCGCAGAGCCTCATCGGTCGACCGCGACGTTCTGTCGGTCGACCGCGACGTTCTGTCGGTCGACCGCGACGTTCTGTCGGTCGACCGTGACGTTCTGTCGGTCGACCGCGAAGCCGCAGCGTGTTTTGTGTATTTTGAGTATTTTACTCATGTTCGAGGGTTTGCCTGGACTATCGGACCTTGGTATTTAGTCTCACTATGTATCCATGCATGATAGATGACCTGAGGGTATAAATTGGGGACTTATACACTGTTTGAGTGTGGATTGATATAAGTAGACTTCACTATACATATCATAGTGATATTTTTACTATTTCACAGTCCTCGTGTTGGACTATAATCCATAGAAGTCCTCGTGTTGGACTATAATCCATGTCAGTCCTCGTGTTGGACATTTGCCACTTTTTTTTCTATGAGTTGGAAACTACCATATATAGTTCCTGTTTCGGACATAGTTCTTAACCCTGCATATGACCTTCTCACAGAAGTTCACGACATGATTTTGACATGACACATATGCAAATCTTAACATGATATTCATGTAGGCTATGATATGGCACTGCACTTGTGTTCTGAGATTAGTTGTATTTTCTTTTATTATTGTTCTTGTATTAGAACCTCGGGTTTGGTGATTAGGGGTTTGCAAATTTGAGATATAAGGTATATACATGAGGGTTTCCTTGTTTAGATTATTTCGCTTGACGTACCTATTCTCGTGTTGTAAATTTCTAAATACTAAAACTCTCTTTAGCAAGATCAATGATTTTAGATCTATTATGTATTAACTGTATTTTCATATACAACGAGCCCTTTTCCCTTGGGGTTGGTTGTGATGTTACTCGCTAGCGCTTTGACGCTCGTTGTCCCTCCCCCTTTCAGGTAACGAGCCAGGAGCCCGAAGAGTCGTAGGTTGATGGCGATGCATTTTAGCTTCAGCTGTCTTGTTAGTTATATGTTTTTGTTCGCTGGAAAATTCGTTGCTTTCTTTGTTATTGATTCCATTGTCATCTTGAGTTACAACTTTTTGAGTTACAAAAGATCCGGTCTTTTTATAAGATCCGGTTACAACGAAAATCAAATAAAAATAAACAAAGGTTACGGATTTGATTAGCCTTTACCGACTACCGTTTGAGTCGGGCTAGCATGCGGATTGTCTAAATCCGTTCCGCATGTAACGTTGTGCTAAGAGAGTGAATTCTCTTAGACTTTGTGCTATGATGTTGAATACATAGGCTTTACCATTGTTATGGGAATAGGCTACCCAGCAACGTGTATTAGACGTTGACTTATCCCTACTTAGGCTTCGGGATAAAAATACCCCAGACTGGTATTCTGGTGTCTTTTTCAATCGGTAAAAGACTAAACCGGCGACGCGTGTTAGGCGTCGGCATATCCTTTCTTAGGATTCAGGATGAAATTCCCCATGCGTGTAAGGCATGGATTTTGGTGTTATTAATAACAACCTGCCACAATGTTGAATATGTGGACGGATGTTCTTTTCAACGGTTAAGAACTAACCGGCAGCGCGGGTTAGGCGCAGACTTATCCTTGCTTAGGTTTCAGGATAGAATACCCCAGAATCGAACTCTGGTGTCTTTTTGTGCGGAAAAAGACTAAACCGGCAGCGCGTGTTAGGCGCAGACTTATCCCTGCTTAGGATTCGGGATAAACTTCCTAGTACCTGTGAGGCACAAATTTTGGGATTTGAAAAAGGTGGTGTCTTCTCTTGGGGCAAAGACGAACCCGAAATGGGAGAGGAAGAATTTTATATTCTATCTCCCGACAATGAAGAAGAAGAATTTTATATTCCATCTTCAACTGGAAAGGAGACTCGAGGTGGGATCTCCACCTCCAGAATCCGGAAAGGTGAAACTGAGAGTGGGATCTCCACTCCGAGAATCGAAAAGATTCGGATAACCCTAACTGTCGGAAGGTTTGATTACCGAACTAAAGATGAATTTCTCGTTTATCGAGAGTGAATTGCGGTTTTGGTCCTAACTGTAGGAAGGTTTGACCAAGCAGGAGTTTGAGATGACCCTAACTGTAGGAAGGTTTGATCACTCGATTTGAAAGTGGACCTCTCGTTCATTGGAGGAATCGAGAGGGGATTTTGACTGTGGTCCTAACTGTAAGAAGGTTTGACCAAGTGGGTGTTTTGAGACAATCCTAACTGTAGGAAGGTTTGATCGCTC